TCGCACCTGGCAGATCCATTTCCTCCAATTGCCTATCGGTTTCTGTGAGCATAGTCATGTAACCCTCGACGACCCACTAGTCGAGGTCAGCTTCTTGATTCGCGTCATGTGCACGGGTGGGGATACACCTCTGGAATCTCTTCATAACCTTCCCAAGCCACATCCATAATTAACATGCCACCCTTGTCCGCTTCTTCCCTTGCCTTTGCAACAGAGTAATCATAGTCACCATCCACGACAATGACTTTTGCCCCCTCGCTCGCAATTCTCCTCTGCGTGGCCTCATCCATAAAGTCGGGCACAAAGATGACGGCCTTGATCTGCAGGTACTTTGCCATTCTTGCAACCGCTCTGCCCCAGTTGCCTTCAGTACATGTCACCAATTCTATGCCTGCTTTCCGTGAAGCGTCTCCCAGCTCATCCAGTGAGGCTGATGGTGGAAGGCTACACCTGGCGGATATGGCATTGTGAATTGCCCATGATGCACCGAGAATCTTGAATGCTGGTAGGCCCAAACGCAGTGATTCATCTTTCAACAGGACGTGTCCGAGACCGAGTTCCTGAGCCAAGTCAGGGAGGGCAGTCAGAGGAGTGACGGCGTAGTCAGGTAGGGTCCGATGAAATGCCTCCACTACTGCGGGGTTCACACGAGCACCATGATATGTCCAGGTAGCTGCAGATGGATTTTGAAACATGGTGTACGGTTGGCCTCGGTTCTGCCTGCCTTGGCTCTTGCAAAACGTAAGATGATGGTGTTTTGGGAATGCCGACAGCTTGTCAATGTGGTTACTTATAAACTGCCAGTAAGTACTTTGCTCTCCCGTTGTTGCATATGCGCATAAGCCTCGCGTGTCTCCCCGACGGAAAGCGTCCTAAGCCGGGTGGGCCCAGGTAAGCGTGGCGAAGCTCGTTTGAGGGCCCTTGTTTGGTAGTGTTACGGACACGCTACTATTACTAGTCATTAGTTGGACCTTTAGGTACGTCATTCCTGAAGTAACTTCCTCTTGGACGCGTCCCCTCCAAAGCAACTTTCAGCCACTATTACATAGTAGAGCAAACAACTCCAACATGTCGCAACACAGGCCCCGGCCAGCTCTGGCAAATGTCCCAAGAGTTGTATTCCAGCCGACCTGGGACAACACCGTCGCGGCGTTGTACCTTGTAAAAGTAACCGATCATGTGCATATATACATGTCTTTTGGGCCAGCTAACAATGCCACAGGGCACCATTTTCTTCATTGCGCACCCATTTCTTTATCCACTGTTACAAGCCCGCCTACTCCCAGCATTTCTCCTCAGTGTGTTTGTGCTTCTCAACCTTTTCTTCTGGACCTTGCTACCCCAAGTCCTCTTTCTCAAGCTGTTCCACCCTGCGGGCAGTGCCTGGGTCAACGCTGTGTTTCTTGTTCTTGGAGAGGGAGCAGCCATAGTCGCACTACTATTTGAGTCTTTCTTGGTGGTATGTACTCGTGCCATGTTCACCGGCTATGGCCAGGTGCTTATCCCGTGCAGGATGAATCTCAAGTCGATATTTTTGACGCCGTCTTGGTGTACAAAGGCTATGAAGACCTGGTCCGCCAATCTCGGCCCCTCTCCGAAGATGCTATGAACGATCCTGTACACCGACTCGGGAAGCCCACACGCCCCTCGGTCTATGCGCCCTTTTCCTTTCGTCAGATCGCCGAGTTCATCCTCCTGCTGCCTATCAACTTTGTGCCGTACGTTGGCGTACCGATATTTTTGTTATTGACGGGCTATCGGGCGGGCCCGCTTCAGCACTGGAGATACTTCCAGCTTCTAGGCTACGACCGCAAGCAAAGGAATCTTGCCATCAAAAGGCGACGATGGCAATACACTTGGTATATGACTCGCATGTGACAGTAGGGATGCAACTGACCAACGACAGGTATGGGACAGCGTACTTGTTCCTGCAGCTTGTGCCGCCATTCAGCATGTTCTTTCTTATGACAGCGCCTGCAAGTTCTGCTCTGTGGGCGGCTGATCTGGAAAGACTGCGCCGGGAGCGGGAGGTGATTCCGGGCCAGGCGCCACAATACACGGACGAACCGGATGCGACTATCTGATCATGGGTGGTGTACATAGTGTACTGCTACTACTACTGCTACTACTACTACTATATAACGCAATCGTTTGCCTTCTGGTTGGGATACAGGGCGAGAAGCTCGATGTAATATCAGTGCTCAGGATCATGTGAACAGGCTAGGGTGTTTTGGCGCGTCAGTGATGGGAGCTTGACGCGTTGCGCAAGCTCTCTGCAGCCGCCTGGGCGATAAGCAAGTGCACGGCGACTGAATAACATAATGTGAATTGATTGACTGCAGTCGGCAGCAACAGCAGCAGCAGCATCTTTTCGCGGCACATTTGCTTGCTCAGGACGGCGCGTCGTGTGTTGCCTAGAGCGTACAGCAAGTAGATGCAAGACGCAGCTGACTCGAGTAAGGAACGTGACACGCTAGGTGTTTAGGCCATGGCCCGCATACGTCAATCAGAGGGCGCGCTTCGCCAGCCCCATGCATACGTCAATCAGAGGCCGCGCTTCCCCAGCCCCATGCCTTCCCGCCCCATACTTAGCTTGCAGCCAGCTTAAGCTCCATCGCTCCATCCATCTCTCCCCCACGACTTTCCCAATCGTCCATCGCACACCTATCCATCCTCCTTTTACATCTCATCCATCTCTTACTCATCGCCCGTCATCATGAAGACGGCGATCCTTCTCGCGGCGGCCAGCTCGGCGTCTGCTGCTGTCTACAAGACGCCACTCAAGAAGATCTCGCTTTCTGAGCAGCTGGTAAGCATTCATCGCAGTCACATGCGCTGGCACGTTTGTCTGATGATCGCCAGGAACATACCAACATTCAGACCCAACTCGCTGGCCTGAAGCAGAAGTACTCCCACCAGCGCGTGGCCAACTTCCAGCCTCAGTCTCAGATGGCGGCTGCCCTGAAGGCGCCCCACATTACAGACGGATCGCACCCTGTGCCCATCTCCAACTTCCTGAACGCGCAGTGTATGTCGCATAAGTTTTGCAGTGTCGTATGATCAGCGCTCACACGCCCCTAGACTTTTCCGAGATCTCCCTCGGCACACCTCCTCAGTCTTTCAAGGTTGTACTTGACACGGGCAGCTCTAACCTATGGGTCCCATCGACTGAGTGCAGCTCCATCGCTTGCTATCTCCACTCCAAGTACGACTCGTCTCTCTCATCTACATACAAGGGGAACGGTTCGGAATTCGCCATCTCGTACGGATCGGGTTCTCTGAGCGGATTTGTCTCGAACGATGTTTTCCAGATCGGCGACGTGAAGGTGAAGAACCAGGACTTTGCCGAGGCTACCTCTGAGCCTGGTCTCGCATTTGCCTTTGGCAGGTTCGATGGCATCATGGGTCTCGGCTACGACACTATTAGTGTCAACGGCATAGTCCCGCCGTTCTACAATATGATTGACCAAGGTCTGCTCGACGAGCCTGTTTTTGCCTTCTACCTTGGCAACACCAATGACGGCACGGAGTCTGAGGCCACCTTTGGCGGTGTCGACAAGAGCCACTACACGGGCAAGCTGACCAAGCTTCCCTTGAGGCGCAAGGCCTACTGGGAGGTTGACCTTGATTCCATCACGTTTGGCGACGAGACTGCTGAGATGGACGACATGGGTGCCATTCTGGACACTGGCACATCTCTGATTGCTCTCCCCTCGGCTATTGCTGAGCTTCTGTAAGGACTGATCCATGGTACATAGTGATGCAGGCGCTAATAACGTACAGCAACAAGGCGATTGGCGCTAAGAAGGGCTACAACGGCCAGTACTCAGTCGACTGCAGCAAGCGCGACAGTCTGCCCGACCTTACTTTCAAGCTTACTGGACACGACTTCACTATTGACGCCTATGACTACGTTCTCGATGTCCAGGGATCTTGCATCTCTGCTTTCATGGGTATGGATATCCCCGAACCTGCCGGACCTCTTGTTATTCTCGGCGACGCTTTCCTCAGGAAGTGGTACTCTGTCTACGACCTGGGCAACTCTGCTGTCGGTCTTGCAAAGTCCAAGTAAGCATGTAGCCCTGGACATGATGGCCAAATAGCAAACGAAATGACATGAGAAGCCATGTCGACCAAGTGACTGGAGTTTGGCTGAAATTTAGCTTTGGTTGAAAGGGTCTGGGAGGTATTGATTTTGACTCGACATGGCAACACGGTCGATGTACGTATAATAGCAAATGTGATAACAAGTCCAGTAACACGGTGTTCGTCGCAGCGTGATGTGTGGTGTAGTAGTAGTAGTAGTACATATAATGATAACCGGCCGTGAAGAATTGCCGACTGTCGATTGTCGACGCGGAGAAGTGGCAGAGCATGCGCTAGACGGACGGCCATCTAGTTGCCTTGGGTGTCCGGAGCTATTCCCGCAAGTACATGATAGTGTAGAGTAGTACGCATGTGGCAGATACGGCTTGATGCGGCGTAAATGTCCATCGCTATCGATAAGTATGGACCAATGACGTCTGCAGGCTGGCCCATGGCGGCAACCGGAGGCTGGCAACCTAGCACGCAACCCCGAAGCGCGTGGGTTGATAACGACGAGGTCGCTGTCCGAGTCCATATGCGAGTATGACGCGGTCTGCACATGACAAGTGAAGCCGAGGGGCCTGGTGCTGGTGCCTGGAAGTGTGTCTGGCAGTCTTATCATGTCACGCTAACAGGCGCCCTGCGGGAGTCTCGTGGCTGATGAGCGTGCATGGCTCACCGTGTACCCGTCCAAGTCATTCCTCCAACCTTTCCAATATGTGACATTCAACAAAGCACCCCAACTGCCTTGCAGCCTCCGACCTCCCTTGCAGTAATAGTAATCGATACTACCCTTCCCACCTCGACCTGCCTTCTTCGGCCCGCCGTAGTACCACCGCTGACCAGCCTACCGACGCCGTCGACCCTCATCGTTTGTTGAGTGCAAGCACACACACCCACCACATCCTCCCAACATGGCATCTCAGGACAGAGACAGAGACAGATCGACTCGAAGAATGAGCAGGAGACGAAGAGATTCAAGACGGGAGTCCCGCGGCATGTCGCTTGATGTGCCGGAGCGCTTCAAGGATGGCGATGATGCTCAGGAAGATGTTACGGCGCCAAAGCGAAATAACACCATGTCGATGAATCAATCCCTATTCTCCATGATAGCTCGCGCAGGGCAGCAGTCGCAAACAGACCTCGGCACGATGCAGGAAGCTGACTCCGGTGATAGCGAAGATGAAGGCAAGCGGCAGGCATCGTACCATGGTCTGGACAGCGCTGCCAGATTGAGTCGCTTAAGCTCTGCAAATGACTTTCACATCTCGACAGAGGAGCCTCACGACAAGAATGTGGCAAAAGGAAAGCACAGGCGGACACTGTCCGAAAACAAGCTCTTACGCTCGCTCCCCAGGCTGAAGGTGTCGAGCCGGAAAGAAGGACGCCCAGAAGGCCCACGAGCCCATCCAATGTCTTCGTCGCAATTTCTACCACCCAAACCATCGCTCAGTCAATCTACAGCAGCCTTGAAGAAATGGCAGCCCAAAGGCAAGGACAAGGACATGGAAAAGGATAAAGTCGATATCACAATGGGTGAGGAAACACATGCTGAAAGAGCATCCAATACTGGACGGAAGAGCAGAAATGGAAGCATGGCCGGCGTGGATAACAGCCAACAACCTGTGACGCTTGCGAAAAGGATCCAGCAAATATTTGAATTCGAGCAGGTTGAGGAGGTCATATCCGAATACCCATGCTGGTTACTTCAAAGTATCCTATTACAGGGTTACATGTACATCACACAGAAGCACATATGCTTTTATGCATACCTACCCAAGAAGCATGTAAGCATACATTGCCTGAAGTTGCTGCAGTTTACTTATGTTCAGTAGCATGATGTCACCAAAACAGGTTATCTCTTCAAGCGTGGCCGATCGAAGCTGAACAGATACTGGTTCGTCTTGCGTGGCGACGTACTCGCATATTACACCAACCCAGCAGAACTCTACTTTCCGAGAAATCGCATCAATCTCCAGTACGCCCTGACTGCCGAAGTACTTGAAAGTACGAAAAAAGGCGAAGAAGAGACTAGTTTTGCAATCACAACAGACGAAAGAAGATATGTTTTCAAAGCAGACAGTGCTGCGAGTGCGAAGGAATGGACCAGATCGATTCAGAAGGTCATTTTCCGAACTCATAACGACGGGAACAGTGTAAAGATATCGCTCCCGATCCAAAATGTTCTGGAGATTGAAGAGAGCTCGATACTGGACCTTGCAAATACCGTCAAGGTCCGTGTAATAGACAACGACGAGACGTTTGCCATAGACGAGGTATGTTTTGTCCAAGGTCTATCTTAGAATGTCTAACACAAGCAGTATTTCTTCTCGTTTTTCAACAACGGCCAAGATGCGCTCAATGTGCTCCGCATCATGATCAATGACAACGAGCATCATCAGCCTACCCCGGATGCTGGTGAACTCGAGAATCAACCCGCTTCTCATCGTGGCTCCGTAACATCTCCAACAGATGCTAGTGAGATGCCCCAAATCCGCGAAAATGTGCGGGCTACTTTATCACCATTGCCTGTAACGCATGTCAGACGATCGAGCATAAGTGATGTGTCCGGTCGTTCTAGCAACGAAGTCAACAGAAAGAGCTGGGATGTGCGACGAAGCATGGATGTTACCCACGCGCTTCGTCGCTCAAGCCATGAGACACGTCAATCTCATGAGCCGCAACAAAGCTTCAGTGGTGACCCACGTAGCACGCAACACAAGCACTATTCGGAAGACGATTCGCCTCAGTCCCCCAGAGCAGCGGATTCTGAGTCGGCGACGCTCTCATTCGAACCAGGCACAGAATCATCAACCGCAATCCAATCGATAGATGAAAGCAATGCTTCCGCATCTCAAATACTCGACCGCTCCGATCTTTTCCGTGGACCCACAAACCTACCCGTCGATAACGCACCACTGAGTAAACTCGATCTACAACATAGGGACTCACAAGAAACAACACGGTCAGCTCAAGCAAAGACTACAAATGTCACAAAACGTTCCAAACAGTCCGCAGCCATAACGGGTACGCCTGACTTTGAAGATGACACGGACGCTAGTCAAGCAAATCCTCGCATGTCAGGATCATCTTCGGCCTTACAGGATATTGCCTCCTATCCACTCCAGAAAGCATCGGGATTAGCTGGATTCTTGAGGACTCGATCGAAGAAGATGGGTACTCTGTTAGCAAGCGAGTCGATGGGTTACTACGAAAAAGTATCCGGCATGCTTGCGGGCGGACGAAAGCACTACAACACCGCTGAAGGCTTGGAGACTGGGGATCAAATTCATGGATTCGAGGACGATGAGGATGCAGCCAAGGCCGTAGAGAATTTCCGCGACCATTTCGCCTTTCCCGAAACCGAGATTTTGCAGTCTTCTTTCTTCGCATCCTTGCAGCGAGTGTTGCCAAACTACGGCAAAATCTACATAAGCGGGAGATATTTTTGTTTCCGCAGTTTGATGCCAACGTCAAAGACCAAGGTCATACTCCCTATGCGAGATATCGAAAATGTGAACAAAGAAAAAGGATTCCGAATCGGTTATCATGGTCTCGCCGTTGTCATCAAAGGTCACGAAGAGCTCTTTTTCGAATTCTCAAAGGCGGAGTATCGGGACGAGTGTGCCATCACAGTGCTTCGTATATTGGAGAATACGAAGTATCTCGAGGATGAGGATTCGTCTTCTTCGGGTGTGGATAGTGGAGACGAGGCGGCCAAAGCAGAACATGACTTGCTCCAGCAGGCGCGCGAGCACACGGATACTGGCAAGCAAGCTAATGTATCGGAGATCGTCCGTGCTGCGGACCACGACAGGATACCCCTCATATTCGACGACCCACTCGCTTCGTTTGTGGACTTCAAACCTCCAGAGCCGTTGAACATTGTTTGCCTTACCATTGGATCCCGAGGAGATGTACAGCCGTACATAGCATTATGCAAAGAGCTCCTGAAGGAGGGGCATAAGCCGCGCATTGCGACACACGCCGAGTTTGAGCCTTGGGTGCGCAAACACGGTATCGACTTCGCCGTTGTTGATGGAAACCCAGCTGAACTGATGCGCATCTGTGTCGAACATGGCATGTTTACGTATGGGTTCATGAAGGAGGCCAATTCCAAGTTCCGTGGATGGCTGGATGACGTGTGTAGTTCTTCGTGGCGGGCTTGCCAGGGTGCAGATGTGCTCATTGAGAGTCCTAGCACCATGGCGGGAATTCACATAGCTGAAGCTTTGGAGATTCCATACTTTCGGGCTTTCACGATGCCTTGGACACGTACTCGAGCCTACCCCCATGCCTTTTCTGTGTTGGAGAAGAAGATGGGTGGAGGATACAACAGTCTGACATATATCACCTTCGATACTATATTCTGGACTGCAATTTCTGGTCAGATCAACAAGTGGCGTCGCCGAGAATTGGGACTTCAAGGAACCACGCAGCATAAGATGCAGGCGAGTCTACGACCGTTCCTGTACAACTTCAGCCCCCATGTGGTGCCACCGCCCCTCGACTGGCCGGATTGGGTTCGTGTCACTGGCTATTGGTTTCTGGATGAGAGCGACTCATACGACCCTCCCACCGAATTATTGGCATTCATGGAAAAGGCACGCGCAGATGGCAAAAAGCTGGTCTACGTTGGGTTCGGCTCCATTGTCATCGACGACCCCGCAGCACTTACTAGGACTGTCGTAGACTCTGTGTTGAAGGCAGACGTACGCTGTGTGCTATCTAAAGGCTGGTCTGATCGTTTGGAGACCAAAGACGCTTCAAAGCCGGAGATTCCCCTTCCACCTGAGATCTTTCAGATTCAGGCCGCACCGCACGACTGGTTGTTTAAACAGATGGACGCTGCTGTGCACCATGGTGGCTCCGGCACTACAGGAGCAAGCTTGCGAGCTGGAATCCCTACCATTATTAAGCCTTTCTTTGGCGACCAATTTTTCTTTGCGCAGCGTGTGGAAGACATGGGTGTTGGAGTATGGCTGAAGAAGGTCAATACGAGTGTTTTCAGTCGTGCACTGTGGGAAGTCACCAACAGCCAGCGCATGATCATGAAGGCAAAAGTGCTTGGACAGAAGATCAGAAAGGTGAGCATAGGCAACAGCTAGAGGTTGCAGGTACCATGGCTAACACGTTGTAGGACAATGGCACGCAAGTTGCGATCCAGACCATCTACCGAGAACTAGATCGCGCTCGCACGCTCATCAAGAAGCAGACGAAACAGGATGACGACAACAGTGAGGAGTTTGAAGAGGACTGGACAATCATTGAAGAAGGCGAGGAGATGGACGGAGCTCATCCCTTTGCAATGCAGCAGCCATTGGTGGGGATCAACCAGGACGCATCTCAGATGGGTGCTGGTTCTTTGGTTCTGGGCAGTATGGTGTTGAAGGGCGCAGCTGCGCAGAAGCAGGCACCACCAGAAGTCGCGCGTCGGGATTGAGTCTTGTCGGACTCTGAACGAGGATATTGGTAGGCGTTAGGAGGTTACGGGGCCTGGATGGATGTATGTAATAATGTAGGAGTGAGGGTTAGGGTAGTAGTAGATTATATGAGTGTAGTCTATCTGGAGTGTCTCGCAACATGCCTGGTATTGCATTTACTACATGAGCCTTGTCTCTTCAAACCAAACCAAAGGCAGGCTCTGTTGGCTGCCACCTGACATGGATGTAGTGGCTGTGTCCTGTTCGCACAGCACTGTGGTCGCAAGGATGATCGGCGGGTCTTGGCAATGTCGCTGTCCTCGTAGTCACTACTGTGTGTAAGTACGTGGGCTTCCGCACCGCCGTGCAGGCAATATGTAGCACTGTCGACGATGCATTGCTGTATTCTTCTCTGTCTCATTTCCTCACCATGCCCAAATTGGAGCATTGCTGTAATCGGCCAGCGGGGCATGTGGCCGACGGGCAGGGAGCCCCGAGGGCTGTCCTTTGTCCGTTGGGTTTGATGTTTGAGCGGACGTGCGAGCAAGGTGCACGCTAGCCCTGTGGCTGCAAAGGTATAAAGCTGCCCCTCGCTCCAAATTATTTGGGGGGGAAATCGGAAATCGGCCAGCCGCGACGCCATACGTCAATCCCCAGTCGCACACCCAACACGTCCACTCTCGCACCCAGCCCATTCCCGTATCGCGCTGCACACTGGCCAGAACCCTCGACTCTCTCCATTACGCACTCAGGTGTCTTTCCCCATCCAGCACGTTGCTCGCACCCCCAACACTCTTGCGACGACGCGCGAGCGGCCTTCCGACTGCTCTGCCGCGTCGGTACCGGATGCGCCAACTAGAAGAACGACGCGACCGCCATCACTACTACGTCCTCAGTCGCATGGGCTGCCCTAGGTCGGCATGAAGATCCTTTCACCCCGGGATTTGAACTATCCCATCACCGTCATCGACCTCTTGAAGAAGCGCGACGCCGAGGTGCCACGGTCCGAGAAGCTCTTCACCTACAGCTATGAGAGCCGCGTCGTCGAGGGCGACAAGTGGGGAGGCGAGCGGACGGTGATGAAGAAGTTTAGGCAAACCTTTGATGCGAGCACTGAAGGAAAGATCACGCGATGGTTCGTCAAGCCAGGCACTGTCATCGACCGATCCGGGTGAGTCTGCTTTGTTGTCGCAAGACAAGCCCTGGAGGCTAAACGTGCCCCTAGAATTCCATTGCTTGAGATCGAAGAGCCATGCACACACGAGACCCAGTTTGGCGGCCTTTGCGTCGATTGCGGTAGAGATATGACCCAGGTCGACTATCTGACCAAGGAGCGTGACGTCGACCGCGCAACCGTCAACATGGCCCATGACAATACCGCGCTCCTCGTCAGCCACAAAGAAGCCGTAGCCGCTGAGGAGGACGCTAAAAGGCGCCTCCTGAATGCGCGAAAGCTGACCCTCATTGTAGATCTCGACCAGACCGTCATCCACACCACCTGCGAACGAACAATTGCCGAGTGGCAGGCGGATCCCGAGAACCCAAACCACGACGCTGTCAAGGATGTTCAGGGCTTTCAACTCGCCGATGATAATGTATCCAACGTGGCTGCAAATTGGTACTACGTCAAGATGCGCCCAGGGCTCAAGGACTTCTTCGATCGAGTTTCCAAACTCTACGAAATGCACGTCTACACCATGGCTACCCGAGCATATGCGCAAGCGGTTGCAAAAATCATTGATCCCGAGCGCAAGTACTTTGGCGACCGCATCCTCAGCCGCGATGAAAACTACACAGACAAGCTGAAGAGCCTGACTCGACTCTTCTACCAGAACACAGCCATGTGTGTCATCATTGATGACAGAGCAGACGTCTGGCAATACAGTCCCCATCTTGTCCGTGTACCTGTCTTCAACTTCTTCCCTGGTGCCGGAGACATCAACGCAAGCTTTCTGCCTAAACAACAAGAATTGGTGTCGTTTACCAAGGACAAGTTGTCTCCTACGCCGAAGAAATCAGCAGCCGATGCTGAGACCAACAAAACTATTGCGGTTGTAGGCAAACCTGCCGAAGTCGGTCCAGCTGGAGCTGCAAATGGAGATCTAAATGAACTAGGGCAGCAACTTATATCTCTGGCGGCAACGGAGGACTTGGAAGTGCAAGCCAAGGAGCAGGAGAAGGTTATTATTGCACAGCAGACTGAACGGCCACTGTTGCAGCAACAACTTATGCAAGATAAAGAGGATGACGAGGCGGAAGATGCAGACGGCTCCCTTCAAGTAGAAAACGGCAATATGCAACATGTGGAACACCACAAAGTCCGACACAGCATCCTCAACGACAACGATAGGGGCCTGGATATCATTGAGAAGAATCTGATTCGCGTGCACCAGACGTTTTACGACGAGTACAGGAAGGCTAAGAAAGTGCCCGCGGGTGGTCGTGTTGCAGAACTGAAAGGCGAAAAGAGTCCCAAAAAACGAGCCATGGACGATGTCATCCCTGATGTTGCAGAAATCATGCCACGCATCAAGAGCGAGGTGCTCGATGGGGCTGTGGTTGTGTTTTCGGGTATCATACCTCTTGGCGTGGACGTTTTGTCGTAAGTTTGTTCGGACGCTAGCAGCAGCGCGCAACTAACAATGACCTAGATCAGACTTTGCACTGTGGATCTCGAGCTTCGGTGCAGAGGTCACTACCAGTGTCAATCGGCGGACAACCCATGTCATTGCCAACCCTGATCGAAAAACTACCAAAGTCAAGCGAGCTGCTCGTTATCCTCACATCAAGATTGTAAACCCTGAATGGATGTTTCAGTGTTGCACCAGGTGGGAGCATGTGGACGAGACGCCTTACCTGATCGAAATCGATGCTGCCGACCGTGGTGGATCGCCAGTTCCGGATCTCGAGGATGAGAGCATTAATGGAACCGGTGACGAAGAGGCAGATGAGGCACCTCACTCACCGATAGTGGAGATGTCCGATGAGGCGTGGGCTGCGCTGGATGATGAATTGGCAGAGTTTATGGATGAAACAGACACGGACGGCGGCAGTGAATCGGACACGGACAGTGTTCGGTCAGAGAACAGTACAATGTCTGATGCGAAGCAAACCAAGAAGAAGCGAAAGCGCACTGATTCAACAGAGGCTAGCGAGACGGAGGAGAGCGATGCTAGCGTCACTAGTACTTCTCGACTGCAACGGCGGAAGAAACGGACTATGGAGCGAGTGACGTCTATGACAAACGTTGTTAGTGCAGAGAAGTCGTCTGGTCTACCAAGTCCCGAAACCACCGGACCGGAAGAGGAGCAAGGCGAAGACGAGGACAAGATGGCTGAAGCCAATGGGGTTGCGCCTGACCTGGACGAGGATTACGATGATGGACTCGAGGCAGAGCTATTGGCAGGATTTGGTGATAGTGATGGAGAAGAATGAGGGAGACGTGTATATTGGAAAGCGAAAGCGAAAGCGAAGGGATCTCTTGGGGGGCTTTGTCTCATCCATGGTCTCACCTGCATAGCGAGGTGTCTGGCATCTGGCGTTGAACATCTTGGGCATTTTCTTGGGGATACCTTACAATTGAACGTATGATTTTTGAGCTTGGCAGAGGGCGGTCTGGTGTATCCATCATGGGTGTTGTGGGTGTGAGCGTGTGTGTTTGTACTTGTTAAAACGTGTACATATATGGTATTTGTGTGTACATTTGTACTACTACTTGGATGTACATATCAAAGGTGGACGCGCTCCGCCCAATGGAGCAGTCCAAGTACAGCATCCAATGGTAGCCAGGCAGACCACTCCACTCCACTCCACTTACCCCAGCATGTCGGCTACTGTGTACTTACTTACTCTATGCTAGCGCCCTTTTGTTCTGCCCGTGTGGACCCTGGTTCTCCCTCGGCCCAGCCAGCGGTGGGGGCCCTCGTCATGGCGGGACAGGTGAAGTGAGGCTGAGGGTTGGTTGCTTTGGCGGGCGCAGGCAAGCCGTGGAGAAGCCCCAGAAGCCTCCGCCCCCTACTCTACTCTTGCTTGTCCACTTCAGCCTCATCAGCAACCCGCCGTGTGCAGCGCCAGGTAGCAGGCAGCAGGCAGCAGCGCTGACAAACACAATTCGACCACACATTCTTCACCCATCACAAGACGCCCATAGCAAAACACCCACACCACCACACTCGGCCTCTTACTCCCGGCCAAGATCATATTCTCCGGCAGGCGAGCGGCTCTCGTCGCACAGCTCACAAGATGGCGTCCCGGCTAGCTTTCATGGACTTGTCTGTCGACTTGAAGACGCTCGTCATTCAGCACGCAAGTATCGCGTAGCCTCTGTGTGGCTGCTATAGCTGACCCTCATATCGTAGATCAACCGCCCGACCGACCTCAAGAATCTATGTCTCACATGCAAGCAGTTGCATGAGATTGCTGCCCGCCAGCTCTACTACGAAGTCACTCTCGACGTCGGCTCGCCTAACGATACGCGCCTCGCAGCCTTCCTCAACCCTAGGAACATCGGCCTACAACATGTGCGCAAGCTGGACCTCTACCTTGCAGATGTGCTAGACAAATGCAACCAACAACAGCAGGCCAACTTTGCCATTCGCATGATTTTGGAACTGCTGCCAGAGAATCAGTTGGACAAGTTCTCATGGCATCCCTGGTCGCCCTTTTCTGGGGACAACCTGGTCTTGCTGTATCGAAAGCAGAAGCGCATGAAGTGGCTGGAAGGCATTTCTCTGGACCGCAATGTTTTGGAGGAGCTGCAGAAACTGCCCAATATTGACAAGTGCTTTGAAAATGTGCGCAAAATTGGCCTATACCCGGACTCACGAGAGGTTCTGGAATTTTGTCACTTTCTACTCAAGAACACAGCCAAACGCACACTTGACAAGATAACATTACACGCCAGCTTTGATGAGCTGGATTCGTCCATTACCACGCGCGAGTTGAACGACACGGTCAATGAGCCTGGTCTGATTACTTCAACCATGTTCAGCCACATGCAGCCTTTCGCAAAGTGTACGCC